AGCACCTGGCACATTTGCACTTTGTATTTGTTGTTTAATCTTTTACAAGAAGCACATACAAATCTAATTTGCTAGAGGCTGGGGATATAGCTCAGCAGCTTAAGCGCCTGCCTACTAGGCACAAGGTCTGGGGTTTGATCCCTGCTACCAACAAAACAAAAACAATCTAATTTGCAAGTCTAGAGAAAAGACAGTGTTTGAACACTGGCCACCCAGGGCTGGGGACATGGCTCAATGAAGAGCTGCTCAGCTCTGAAACAAGACAAAAGCACTTTGACAGTGGGGCATAGTGGCACATGTCTGCAATCCTAGCACTTGGCAGGCTGAGGTAGGAGGATCATTGTGAATTTGAGACCAGCCTGGACTACAAAGTGAGCTGAAGGCCAGCCTGAACTGCACAGTGAGACCCTCTCAAAAAGACAAGAAACAGAAAACACTTTGCTAGTGGTATCCCCACTGGGTGAACATCCCTTATCTGAAATCACTGGAATAGAAAGGTCTTTCAAAATAGTCTTGGGGGGGCTGGGGAGATGGCTCAGTAGAATAAGTGGCAAGAGCAAGGGCCTGAGTTTGAGAGTCTTGGCTCTTGGAGTATGTGTAGACTTTATTGTTGAGGATTCCTAATCTGAACATCCAAAATCCAGAGCTCCAGACTGGGGACTGAACCTAGGGCCTTGCTAAATTGCCCAAGCTGGCCTTGAATTTGGGATTGTCTGGGTGACTCAGTCTCACAAGTAGCTGGGATTACAGGTGTGCTCTACCATGCTCAGCCTAAAAATCAAACTGATTTCGAGTGTCATGTTGGGACCCTGTTATGGCTGGTAGCTAGAGGTCTCCCCAAAGCCTCATGTATTCAGGTGGGGCTTTTTGGAAGTGGCTGCATAAAGAGTGTGTGAATTTTGATTCAGGATGTGTGAGAACTAAATTAGTCCACTGACTGGCTTAGCATAGTTCTAGGTGCGGATAATGGGAAGGCCCAGCTTGGGTGTGGATGGCACCAACCAATAGGCTTGCAGCCTGAGTGGAACAGAAGGGGAAGGGAGGCTTGCTGCTTCCTGCCTGCTATGCTGTGGACTGTTTCCCCTCAGCCATGTCCTCTGTCCAGTTGCCCTGCCTTGGAGCCAGCTAACTCAGGAACATCTACAAACTCTGAGCCAAAATAGACTTTTCCTCCTTTAACTTGCGGGTGTCTGTTATTTCGTCCCAGAAATGAAAACACACCCAAAATTTCAGATTTCAGAGTATTTTCATATTAGTAATGCTCAGCCTGTACTACTATTGCAATGAAATACAAAAAAGCAGCACAGGGGGCTGGGAAGATGGTTCAGTAGAATAAGCATTTCCCTGGCAAGCGCAAGGGTCTGAGTTCAACCCCCAGTTCTGC